TTATTAATAATCAAAAAAGTAATCATAATGGTAAGTCCTATTTTTGTAAATATTGTAATCATGGATTTAGAAATGAAGAATTATTAAATAAACATTATGATAGTGGATGCATGGAAGTTGATGGTCAACAAATAGTAATGCCTAAGCCTTATGAGAAAGTTAGTTTTAAGCATCACTTCAAAAAGTTAAGATGTCCTTTTGTTGTATATGCTGATTTTGAATGTTTGACAGAGGAACTGAAAAAACCTGATGAAGATGAAGATAAAAACACTTTTTCTTATCAAGAGCATAAACCATGTGGTTTTATGCTTAATATGGTTAATGCTGTTGATAATACAAATTATGAATTTATGTATCGTGGTAAAGATGCTGTTGATGTGTTTTGTCAAAAACTTAATGACATTAGGGCAGAAGTAAAGGAGAAGATGGGAGAAAACGAAAAAATAGACATGACTGATGAAGACAAAGAAGATTTTAAAAATGCTAAAAACTGCTTTATTTGTGGGGATAAGTTTAGAATGAACTATAAGAATGCCAAGGAAGCAGAGAAATATAGAAAAGTTAGAGATGGAGGGCGAAGCCCTCCAAGCTACTCTTCTGATAAATATCAGAAGGTCCGCGACCATTGTCATTTTACAGGTAAGTATAGAGGTTGTGCTCATAATGTTTGCAATCTTAATTTTTGTAATAGATATTTTAAAATTCCTGTATTCTTCCATAACATGAAAAATTATGATGGCCATTTAATTATTCAAAATGCGGATAAATTAAGTAACAACAATAAAATAGGTGTCATCGCTCAGAACAGTGAAAAATTTATTAATATCAGTTTTGAAAGTTTGAGTGTTAAAGACACTTTTGGGTTTTTAACTGCTTCATTAGATAAGTTAGTTTCAATGAGTAAGTATGATAATACAGATGAAGAAGATAAAAGTAAATGGTTATTGCGTGAAAACTGGAAAGATAATTTTAGGTTTAGTAGTAAAAATGATGTGATTAAGAGTGAGAAATGTCTAGATTTATTAACTGATAAAGGCGTTTATCCTTATGACTACATGAATTCATTTGATAAATTTGATGATGAGCAATTACCGAGTAAGGATGATTTTTATAGTCAGTTGAGTGAAGAAGGTATAAGTGTTAACGACTATGAAAGGGCAAAAATTATATGGAAGCATTTCGACATTAAGAATATGGGTGAATACCATGATTTATATTTGAAAACTGATGTATTATTATTGACTGACATTTTTGAAAATTTTAGAGATGTATGTATGAAATATTATGGATTGGACCCTGCTTATTATTATACATTGCCTAACTTTGCTTTTGATGCTATGCTTAAAATGACTGGTGTAGAGATTGATTTAATATATGACCAAGAAATGTATGAAATGATAGAAGCGGGACTTAGAGGAGGGATGTGTATGGTTTCTACTAAAAAGGTTGAAGCAAATAATAAATACATGGGAGAAGATTATGATAAAAAGAAAGAAAGTAGTTATATTAACTATTTAGACGCTAATAATTTGTATGGGTTAAGCATGATACAAAAACTGCCATATAAAAATCTAAAATGGGATGATACATTAAAAGAAGAAGACATAATTAATTATAAGAATAATAATATTGGATATATTCTAGAAGTGGATTTAGAATATCCTAAAGAATTACACGATTTACACAATGACTATCCAATGGCACCTGAGGTTATGAATGTTAAAGCCAACATGCTGTCAGATAAACAAATTGAAATTTATGAATTTTTAAATCATAAAAAACCTACGGATGAGAAAACAAATAAATTAGTATTGAATTTAAATGATAAAGAAAAATATGTAATCCATATAAGAACCTTACAATTTTATTTGAAGCAAGGGTTAAAACTTAAGAAAATTCATAGAGCAATTAAATTTGAACAAAAAGAAGTTTTAAAACCTTACATTGAGTTTAACACTGAGAAGAGGAAGAATGCTAGAAATGATTTTGAGAAAGATGTTTATAAATTGATGAACAATGCCATATTTGGAAAAACAATGGAGGATAAGCGAAAACATTTAGATTTTGAGGTTGTGAGTGATGAAACTAGATATATGAAGTGTGTAAGTAATCCTAACTTCAAACATAGTCATATCATTAATGAAAATTTGGTTGGAGTTGAAAAGCAATATACAAAGTTGAAACTAGACAAACCTATATTTATTGGGATGAGTATTTTAGATTTGAGTAAGCAACACATGTATAAATTTTATTATGACGTTATGAAACCTAAATATGGAGATAATATTAAAATGGTATATACTGATACTGATAGTTTTGTATTTCATACTAAAACCAATGACATTTATGAAGACCTGAATACAATTAAAAAAGAAATAGATTTTTCAGATTATCCTAAGGAACATAAATGTTATGATGAGAATAACAAGAAAGTATTAGGTAAATTTAAGGATGAATTAAAAAGCAAAATAATAACAGGGTTTATAGCCCTTCGTCCTAAATGCTACGCTTACTCAGTTTTTGGTGATGAAAAAGAATATAAGAAATGTAAGGGCATAGCAAAAGGCACAGTAAGACGTCAAATGAAATATGAAGAGTTTGAGACGGTTTTAAAAACTAATGAGGTTATACATAAGTCATTTAATAGTATTAGAAGTAAAAACCACAGAATTTTTAGTATAACAACTAAAAAAATTGCTCTTAGTAGTTATGAAAACAAAAAATATTGGATAAATAATATAAACTCACTTGCTTACGGCCATTATAAAATAAATTCTTTGAAAACGACTTAAAGAAATATTGACTTAATATATTATAATAGAAATGGTTGAATTTACTAAAAAAGAGCAAGAAGAAATTATTAATGACTTTTTGAATAAAATAAAAGTTAATGACATTATCAGTAGTTGTAAATGTAAACTAATAAATGAAAAAACTGGACTAACTAAGTTAAATTTACCTATTCCAATTGTTAAAAACATTTGTGATTTTAATTATGTTGAATGCGAGAAATGTGTTTTATTAAGAAATGCAAAGCAAGTTTTACATAAAAGTAATTTACATTCAACATTGAGACAATGTATTTATGATAAATACAAATTGGAATTTGAAGAAAATACATTTCTCAATGATGACTCATCATTAAGAACATATTGTTTTATAAAGTTAAATACATTTCCTACATATGAAAAAGTGAAAAAATATATACTGCAAGATAACGAAACATATATTTTAAAATTTTATAATGATATTAAATATTACTACGAAAAATCATATGAAGTTAGTTATGGTGGCAAAACTGGAACAACAAGACCAATTGAAGAATTTAATAATAAAATGATATTTAAATTTATTGATGAGTATGATTTATCAAATAATAAAATTGAAAATGATTGCAAGGAAACATGTTTAAACTACATAAAACAAAGAAACCAAGAATTGAAAATCATAATTGATAAAATATGTGATTATATTAAGGATGAACAGAAGAACAATATAATAGGTAAATTAATATATGGTGATGTGATAAATGATATTAAAAGTGTTTTAGGAAACTGGGGCATAGATTTTTGCATTTATGATTTTGCTGATAGAAAATATCCATTTAAAAATAATAAACAGAACTTTAAACAAATACCAAAGATTACAAAGGAATATTTAAATACTAATGACTTTGATTAAAACCATACTATAATAATAACATGTAAAATCTTATATGTTATAATTATATTGAACTTATGGTTTGTTTCTTATTTTTTCTTAATGCCTTAAAAATGACTTAAAGAAATAGTGCCTTAATATAATAAGAGGAAAATGAACGGTGATAAAATCAATAATTATATCATTAAAAAATGCTATGATTGTTGTCACTTCAAAAAAGAAAATATGGAATTGTATAAATTGAATTTACCTAATGAAACAGTGAATAATATTATTAATTATTCAATGGATGGAAAAGACGAATGTGAAAATTGTCAGGAATGGAGAGATAATCAATTTTTAATCAAATGTTTGTTGAGAATAAAAGGAAGACATAATAGAAATGTAGAAGATGAGATTTTAATATGTCTAACTGTAAATAAAATACCACCTTACGATTATGTTAAACAGTTTCTTAAAATCAGTAAGAAAAAATATGAAATGATTTATGATATATTATGGATGTTGGGCTATAGTCAAGAGAAAGGAGAAGATGTTAAAGAAAATATCAAATTATTTATTGAAAGTAAAAAGTTTAATATTCAAAATACATTGAGAGATATTAATATTATTTTTAAAATGATGTATGAAAGAAGAAAGATTTGTCAATTAAATTATTATCCTGTACTGAAATTATAATCATACTATAATAATAACATGTAAAATCTTATATGTTATAATTATATTGAACTTATGGTTTGTAAAGATTGAAATATTTTATTTTCTTAGTTTTCTTGTGTGCTTAGGCTGTTTGGTTTTGTGGAACTATTAGGTGAAATGTGTTTTAGTCATATTTTTAAGTCTGAGTGAAAAATTCGCGAACAATGAATAAGGTAAAAAGAAAAAATGAAGAATAACTGGAGTTTCTGAGAATTGGAAAAAGACTTAAAATATAAAATGAATAAGGTTAATCAAATAGTAAAATGAAATAAGTTAAGTAGTGAAAAAATAATGAATAAGGTGTGCATCTTTCTAGGAATTACTTAGAATGAATAAGGTTGTGATTTATTAACCTTATCTATTATTTGATACTTGGTTTTTCAATGTGTTTTTTCATTGCTTGTTAGAAAAAATACAGAAATGATTTTCAGTTCCTTCAAATCTCCTTTCTGTATTTTTGGGGGGGGGGTGGGGGGGGGGGGGGGTGGGGGGGGGGGGGGGGGTGGGGGGATGAAGTGCAGGGATGAAGGGAGGGGTGTGTTGCATGGGGAGGTCTTTGACCCGCAATGGGGACCGAATTCCGCGCTCTGCTTGGTATCCATTTCTCCGGCCGAGAATGCGTCCGCCAAACCCCCTGGTCTTCAGCCCACCTGCCCGAACACGGGGCCAAACCCCCAGAAGACGCCGGTTCATGCCCCACCAAATTGCAAGTCAGCCCCAGCAACTTCCAAAGCTTGGCCAAAAAAAAACTCCCCAAGCCTTTTGCTTTGCCACTCACCTCCACCCAACCCAACCCAACGCCCTTCGCCTCACTCCCCCGCTCGACCGCTCCACCGCTCCACCGCTCGCTCCCCGCTCGCCTCGGCGGCCTTCTGCTCCAAGAACTGCAGCTCCGTGGAGATGGCGTGCTGCTGCGCCTGCAGCTCCACCTGGACGGCCGGAAAGAATCGGTGGATGGAGAAAAGACCCGGTAAAAGCGGTGAACCATGGCTCAGTTGCCCAAAGGACCTGGAACTAAAAGGTTAACCTTTTGGTTCCTTTACTAAAGATAGACCAAAATTAGAAAACCAAAAGGTTAAAAGGTCGGCTTTGGGCAACTGAGATGTCAGGCTACATTCGTGTCACAATCAAAACCGATCGGTACAAAACTGGTGAACCCAGAACCAACCTGCAAAGAGTTGGTGGATTATGGAGAACCCGTGGAGCTGCAGAACCCAGAACCATGGAGATGCTGGAGATGGTACAAATCTGGTCGCACCATCAACACCTGCAGCTGGTCTTTGGGGTAAAGTGCATGGAAAAAGGCGATCGCAACCGGCGATCCAGGCGGCGTTTTTTGCCCAGGTGAGTCAAAATCAAACCTGGTACAAAACTGGTCGCAATCCCAGAACCATGCTTCAAGAATTAAGAAGGCGGGGATCCGCAAAACTATGTTCCGGCTGGCACCGCCCCTTGCTAAGCTTCATCTACCCGAATCGGTTTTGAGGACGTGGCCCACCTGAGAAACGGAAGCCTCGGACGACCCGCCCGAGCCGAGAGCCTCCTCTGAGCCTGTCTCAAGAAATGGGGGGCGGAGATCAGCCCCCCTTGGGGGTCCAATATGGATTCGCATGGGTTCATTTATGGAGCTTCTAATCAATATTGCCATTTAGGGCTCCCAGTTTTGACCATGGATAACTTGTCTAGTGTGGGAATATCTTATCGTTTTAGTGGCTTTCCCCAAGTCTAGCCGTTTGCCTTTGCACCCACCGATTGGGGGCGAGAAGGAACAGCTCAAGACTGGTGTCTAAGTCACGCTCTTTGCCTTTTTACCAACACCTTTCGGGCTAAAAGGCGCACAAAACGGCACAAGACTCAGGGTCCCTTTCCAGGTGCCACCTTGTAGTCATTTGTCTTGTCTAAGTCAAGCTCTTCGCCTTTCCACCAACCTAGGAGAAAAAGAACACCTGCAGGGCGAATCACCAGCCTGAAAAGTCATGTGCTAGCCAACACACTGGTCGCTGAGCTGCACAGCACAACCACAATGAAAAGGAACACCTCAAGACTCGAGGTGCCTTTCAAGGTTGGACCTTGTTTAAACATCTTGCTACGGTTGCTCAAACAACCCTTGCGGTTTCCTGTGAACGCGAGAATGCGAGACATGTGTTACCACCAACCCCGGCTTTTTATCGCCTCTGGCGAACAACTCTAAGGTCATAAGCTTGGATCAGCCGGGATCTCCCGGAAGAGACGATCCCCAGGGCTTGCTGGTAGGAACCGGGTCCCCGGTTTCCTAACCTCCCAGTGGCTCGTTGATTCCTGGCTTTTACAAAAGTGGGACGTGTCAAATCCACGTGGTTCGTTCAGCTAGTGGAGATTGACAGGCTACTTTCCAGTGGTCGCAAAAGGAAGGGATGAAAATCCCGTAAACCATGCCCGGGCCTGTCTCACCACCCCATACACAGCGGACTGGTAGTCACGCCACATGACCACCTTCGCCAGCGCAATGGTGGGGTAAGGGACCCCCCCTCCCCAGTTTTTGGTTGGTTCCAAATAAAGGTGGCCAAGGGAAGCGTGGTTTTTGGCTCCACAACTTTGCAATGCCTTGCCTTGCTCACCGCGGTTTACAAGGTCTTCTCATTGAAGGGAAACCCGCGTTCGACATAAACAGGACTGGATTCATTGAAGTGACATCCTCAAAATGACTTGCCCTCTGAATGATGGTTTCAAGGGGGTTCCCGGACCCAAATCTAATTTTGAGAACCCCTGAAATGCAACCACTTCAAGGGACCCAGCAAGATTCCCCCCCCCTGCCCCCACAAACGGGGAGTTGGAATCTTACTGTGCTGGAACAAGCCGAAATGGGGGGTCAAGAAGTGGATGGCCGGCTTTCCTCGTGTCGCTTGAGACCAACCTGAAAAGGCTACCGAGCCTCCAATAAACCACGCGCCAAAAAATCGGGATCTGTCGTTTGAAGTAAGGCGGCGAGTGCTGAGTCTTAGCCCTGGCCATGGGTTTATCTCATGGAACCTGAAGATAGCATGTCGGTGTTCCTTCCGGCTTCCCCTTCAAAACCCCAAAAAGATCGGCTGAAGTGTACATGCGCAACCAGCTCTCATCTGAAAGACGCCTACAATGCCTAAGCAGGCCACGCCCATGACTGAAAATCGGTCATTCTAAAACGACTTCAAGATCCCCTTCACCCCTCCTTCCTATTTCCAGTGCAATGGTGGTTTACTGCTGTTAGTCACCAGCCTAAACCCTAAAAAGCTGAAATGCCAAAAATGATGGCTGAGAACCACCTCGCATTGTAACCACTGTATAACTGCTTCCCTCCCCTTGAAAAACCAGAACCCGTGTTTGTTTTTCTTGCAGCCCAATTCATGAACAGAACCAAGCAACTACTGAAAACATGTCGAGAACGGTGAGAACTGGGGTTGTTGCCCCAAACCCCAAAAACTCGCAAACTGTGGGACAAAAATTGACCTCTTGTTTGCATACGTTTCAAAAGGCATCGCGCCAGCATTGCATGTACGCAAGCGACCGGTGCAGAAAACTTCGCCTCCGCTGCTGGGTTACACTTACCGGCTGACAGGCCAGAAAGCTTGACCCACCAATAACCATGAACACCTGAGTCGCATTCAAAACCGATCAGTACTAAAATGGTCGTAATCCCAGAAACCATGTACAGGATTAAGAAGGCGGAATTCTGCAGCTATTTATGGCAAGGGGATCGTCCCTTACTAACCTTGTGGCTCACCTGACGTTCGGAGGGAGGGGGGGGGGGCCGGCATGGACCACGTTCCTGAAAAAAGGGACTTGAATGACCAGCAAGACCTGCAAGCAAAAGTTCGTACTGGTTGCCAACTCAAGAGGGAAGCACAATCGAAACCTGATGTTAACGTGGTCTGCCCAAGAACAGGTGAAGAACCAAAAAAGGGCGGATTCACGCGCCTATTAGTTGGGATTGTCTTCATTTACCTGGGCTTTGATTGTATATCTTCCACTCGTGCAGCGCTCCTCAGCCCACAACCACCCACCCCCTCCCTTCCTTCCCTGTAAACACACCGATCCCACTGTTGGTCTAGTGTAGAAAAAAATATGAGAGTGGGGATAGCCTTCATCAAAGTGGGTCTGTGCCCCCAGAAACATGAGGGGTGTCCTTCTGGTTTCCCTCTAAACCAGGTGAAAAAGGGGATACCAATGTCAAAAAACGCACAAACTCAAAGTGAGTGCACCAAGAAAGTCACTGCGATGTCGTGCCGTTCTCTCGCCTCTCGCACTGGCTGGTCGTCAAGCTCGTGCTGGGTGCCCATCTCGGGCAAGGCAAGCGGTTCGGGGTGGGCATAGGTGTCCTTTTAGGGGAAATAGATGGGTTTCCCTGGTAGATGAGAAAAGACCACCACTTAAACCAGGAATCGCCATCTATTTTTCTTGCAAAACAACCAAAAAGGACCCCTGTGGGCGTGGGTGGAAGGTTGGAGCGAGTTCTGCCGCTTCAGCTGCGCGCTCAAGAAAAAGTGCTGGGGTTTTAGGCTGGCTTCCTGTGAGATCGGGGGGTTTTGGTCAAACAGATATCGGGGGGAGGGGTTTTGGTGCGGAGACCTTGGACGGCATTGAAACATTCTCACAGATGTCAAATCTCCCAAAGGCTAGCTGGGACAACATAAGGGGGGCCACGTTGAGACACATTCACGAATTGAGATGTTCCAGATGGTCATGGAAGTAAACCCTCATTTTTCCTGGGTAGCCTGTACAGCCAAGCAAAGAGGAGTCCATTTTGGCACGAAGCTGCCAAGTCTCCTTACAAGACGGGGGTCGCTGGCACCAACAAACACATTAGGGAAAAATGATTTAGATGTTGTCTCAAAATCAAGGTACACCCAACATCGTCAGTTCTCTTTTGCTTCCGCTTGAAACCAAAAAGTTGCTTGCCTTTTCTACAAAGATGCTTCCACGGTCACTCAAAGCTCGACCAAAACAACCGGCTTCGGCTGTCTGCTATGGGGGTGTCTCAACATGTCGGATGTTGCTTAGAGGGCAAACTTGAAAATTGGTATTTTTGCTTTAAACATCAACAAGAAACTCAATTGAGCTCGTCCTGAAAGTTGATGTTTCAACCACCCAAACAAAGTATTTTGCCAACTCGTAGTGGGTTCAATGGGAACCACCACTAAAGCGTACAAACCCAAAAACGGCTGGGAGCCACCAAGCATATTAGGGCCCCTTTCTTTCTATGCTACCAAAGGGGAGGTACATACTGTGGATGGACAAAATCTAACCCTAGAACGATGGTCCCCTTCTAAAAACAAGGGTTTCAACCATAGTTTCTTACGTTCTTAGGTGGTGCGGCGAAATGGATTTCGCAACCATCCACCGTATCAGGGACCCTGGCAGCCCATTAAGCCTCCCGGCCCGCACCGCGCGCTCGTAGGCCACAGTCTGGAAGTGTTCCTCGGTGCTTTGCTCGGGAGACGGGGCCATGGGTCGAAGCAAAAAAAACGCTTGGCCATCGGAGGTCCTTCTACTTCCCCTCTTGAAGTCTCTGGCTACCTGCTGTGGCTTTTGTCAATGCGCCTTTGTACCTCACCAGGGCGAATTCTAACCAGCTCCGGCGAATTTTTGTTGGGGGTGCCTTCCATAAAAACAAGGCGTAGGGGAGTAAACCAGAAGTCCGAATAAACCTCGCTCTGACCAGGACGCGAGCTGCCATGCCGCTTTGCAATGTTTCGGGCCTTGAGGTGGCGCAGTCTGTGATATGTTTGGGTCATAGATGTCGGGCGATTTGTCACACGCGTGGTTTCAATTTAGTTTTTAAGAGGCATCTCCTTTTGGCAATCCAACCCCCCAACGTTCGGGTTCCTTCGCAAACTTGTAGGGGAGTACCACTCAAATCATCATGACCCCCAAAAAAAACGGGTGCCGAAACGGGGGAAGTCGAGCAAATCGGACTCCAAATGGGGTTCATCCCTAACCCGAGTAAACGACTGGGTCTTTTGACAACACATACGAACGGACAAAACGACTTCCTCAAAAGGGAGTCCGTGAAGCACTGGATCCATTCCCCCTTTAAAACAAAATTGGATTCCAAGGTAAACCGCCCTTTTTGCGGGTTCTCTTATTTGCTCAACGAGCAAAATGAGTCATAGTCAAAACCTGGTAGTAAGACGGTCTGCCTATGTACAGAAGGGAAAAGGCAGACATCCGCACCCAGAAATAATGACCAGGGATCTTCCCTTACCCTCCGATTGCCCCCGGTTTTGGATGCTCAAGTTCTCGGGGAGTTCTAAGGCTTGATTCCATTTCCATTCTGTGCAACCATCGTTCTTTTCAAAAACCGGATCCTTAGCTCCCTGGGTTTCCGGAGGCCTAGAAAGATCCGGATCCCTGAAAAGGTTTCCGGTTGGAATGTACCCTTCGAACATCTAGGTTCCCCACGTCTGTGAACATTCAGCCTAGATAGCCAAGTTGCTGCCGTTTTCAGTCACTGTTGCTGGTTTTGGGGTAAAGTGCATAAAAACAAGTGCAACTGGCGATCCAGGTAGAGGATTCCTTTGAGGGCTTTTTTGGGGCCAGCAAGGCGTCACTGGGCTTCCCCGGCGCGGATGAGCTCCTCGTAGTCCAGGTGGTGGTAGCCCAGGTCTTTGGGGAGGCCGCGCACCTGGTGAGCAAAGAAACCAACCCAAATCAAATCAAAACAAAACAAGGCAAGGCAAACAAAGCAAGCAAACAAACGAACAAACAAGCAAACAAAGAAAGCAAGCAAACAAACAAAGAAACAACCCACCCACCCACCCACCCACCCGCCCGCCCACTCGCCCACTCACCCACCCACCCACCCACCCACCGAACTCCCCAGCCCCCCACCCAGCTCCCCTCCCGGCTCCCCAGCCGCGCCTGCACCGCCAAGTTGGCCAGGTTCCGCGCGTTGGTCTCAAGTCGCAGCCAGCAATCGGGGGAGGTGCGGCCGATGGGCAACCCCAAAGTCGGAACTTCTATTGGCCGAGGTCCTCCGGATTTGAGAGGTTACAATAAGCGGGTCCCCGAGTTTTTGTTTCGGGTTTGGTCTATTTTCGTAGGGGAACCCTCCCAACCAACAAAGGGGTTACAAAGGGCACCAAGCTGGGGGACCTAGTGGCGCTTGGCGGTTGATGCTCAGATGCCCAGTGGATTTCATGGACAAAAGATGGTGGTATCCTTTTTTGGTTGACTGTAAAGCGGAACTCCTCCCAAAACAAAGGAACAAAGGAACAAAGGGCACTACTGAGCAACGGAAAAAAAGGCTGCCCAAACTTACCCTCAAGATCTGGTTCAAATCCAAACCAATCCGAACCATGGGTTGCCTGAGCGAAAGGTTCTTCTTCCCCCAACTGCAACAGCTACTCTGCATGGACGAAATCCGTTCGCACCACTTAAAAACCATAATTGAAACCATTGGTATTTACGTTGGGAAATCATCATTTCAGGGTTTCTTAGCTGGGGCGAATGGATTTCGCAACCATCCACAGTATGTCGAAACCAGACCGACTTTCAGCCGACGGGTGAGTTCCAAAAGGCCATGACAATCTGGGGCGCTGGGGACTCTTGGGCTTTTGTCCAAGCGGGACGGTCCCAAATCCCCAAGCCCAGAGGTTTTCTCGGGAGCCTCTGGAAAAACAAAAAACCCTTGCCGCTGCGTCCTTCCCTGATCGCAAACCACGCCCTCAAATACATTCGTGCGCGCATTGCCGCGCAACTGAGAAAACTCGCGCAAGCGGAGGCGTGATCCTCTTCCGTCCGAGTCGCTGTGTAAGTGGCCCGCTTGATGATGACCTGGGAATGGCTTCAGCCAAACTTGGGGAAAAAGTATGGGATGCCTGGATCGCCAGTCGCGATCGTTTTGTTCCATCCACTTTACCATCCAAAAACCGATCGCAACAGTGACTGAAAACAGCGATCGCAACTTGGGCATCTAGGTGGTTCTTTCCGGATGGTTTCGCACGGTTTTGTCCGGTTTCGTACGGGTCTCGGATGGGTCTCGGATGGCTGAAGTGAGCCATGGGTTTGGGACCCGTTTCTCCTTGGGGGTCCCTGGAAAAACCACCACCCCAAGAAGATAACCCCCTTTAAACGGTCGCAAAAATATTCCAAAACCAGGCGCCATAATATTCCAAAACCAGCCGGATAGGATTCGAAAACCAGAACCTTTAAACGCCACATGCCGGACTCCTTCGGAAGTCAAATCGACTTCCAAGGTTTGTGGTGCTGGGATCCCACCAGTAGGACGGGTTTAGCAAAGGGGTGTCACGAGGTCTCACAATAGTAGATCTGTCGTCATGGGAGAGTGTGTCTTTCGAAGGTGGGAAACCCGTCCCCCATGTCAAAACAAAGCCTTCGGGGAACAAGCCGCCAGGTGTGTGTTTGTGTGACGAAAGACTTCCTGAAACAAGTTGGGTTTCTGAGGGTTGTCAGCCCCCACCAAGACCTCATGTGGGGTGTGGCTCAAAATTAAACAGCAGGGGGAAACCGCAGGTTTTGGTCCATGTTTCCACCAGGGCAACCCATTTTGGAATTCCGGTTCTTGATCCACAGCCATGGCGTTCATAGCCACTGGAGGCGAATCCAACGAAACCAAAAACAGCCCTGGCCGCTGTCAAAATGATGCGAACTTGCCGCCAGTCTTGCCAACTTCACAAGGAAGCCACCAACTTCACAAGCCCATGTGCTTCTTGTTCCAACAAGGCTTGCTCTTCTCAAAAACACACAAAGAACCCAACCACCGCGGGGCGCGACGCAACATGCTTCGGAAAGCTAAACTCCAGCCAATCCTCAACCCTGCTGGGACTCCATGCAAAGCGATACAGGAGAAGCACCCCAAGCAGCCTCGGACGGGAGCCCACGACGCCGACCAAGCCATCCATGGTGCTGAGGCTTGTATGCGCCCTGGTCAAAACTCCTTGTTGGTACTATGTTCTTTTATCATTATCATTGTCTCAAGCATATGTTCATTCTTGTTCCATATACGGATGTGTACATTCCTTTGCTGTATCTATAATCGTTTAAACAAAGATGTGTTCAGGCGGAGAAAAAGAGCATTTAAAAAAACTCAGGTGATATCCCCAACAGCATGCGGTGCTCTTTTTAGTGCTCGCACCACCCCGCAGCCCTCGCAGAACCTCGCAGAACCTCGCAGAACCTCGTGGAACCCTCGTGGAACCCTCGTGGAACACTCGTGGAACCCTCGTGGAACCTTACCTCAGGGCCGCCCGGACCACCCCAGAGCCTATCTGGGCTGAGACCCCAAAGCTTTCAGCTGTTGGGGAAAAAAGAAAAAAACAGAACGAAAACAAAAAACAAACAAAAAACATGTGTCTAGGCACTCGTTGTGACGATTGTCTGCGTGTTTCCCGAGATCTGCATTGACACTGGAGCAGCCAAAAATGACTCCGTTCAACATGTGGAGTCTTGCTTGTGCTGACCAAACGCCGTGTAAACTATGGGATTCCAAAACGGTTCAGCCCAAAAGCCCGTGATACTAGCCATCTTGCTCAAAGGAGGATCGAAGGCAGGTCAGCTAGGGCTGCGAGAGACACTCGGACTGTTTCCTGGAGACAGAGACGCTGAGGGATCTGCGCAGAACGGCGTCTTAGATAAACAGAGGGTGGCCCAGAAGTATTCCACTTCTGTCATCCAGCCCTTGCTTGTCCAGGAGTTTTCAGTTGACCGCATCTACGAGCCGACTTGGGTTTTTGCAGCGCAGCCACCACTCCCCGGACTCTTCTTGCTTGGAAGAAATTTCAATTAGCAAGGATTACGTTGCGGGTGTTTAGCGGTGCGGTACCTATCAGTAGGGTAGAGGGCTTGTGACTGCACAACAGGCTCGTTCTGGATGTCTCGAATGCCCAGGAGGAATTTTGAAAGCGCGCTACATGTGATGCACGTACCCTCTTCCAACAATCATGAAGTGGACAGGGAGGGGCTTGGAAGACGATCCTCTTGATTGCCCACTTCCATGATTATCTGAGAAAGTGTGTATTTCCGTGTATATTTATGCATATATAATATAAAGCCAGCTGCATCCATTCGAGAGGTTCCCTTAAAGGGCGTCTCAAAAGTAGTGTTGGTTCCGGCGAGTTCTCCGTTCAACCACAATGAGGGTTGTTTTCAGGACGTCACTTTACCTCCTACTCAGCAGGGAATGAGGGAATGAGGAAATGACCCTTATAACTAATAAACCATCCATCCTATGGTTTCCTTGATTCGGGAATCCCCAGGTTAATTCCCTGACTCCCTCCCTGGGTGTGGCTCAAAAAGTGGGACCAAAAATGGCACCTTGGCAAGTGGGGCCAAAGACTAAAACCTGCGGTTTGCCCCAGCGGTTTAATTTTGAGCCACACCCACCTATCGCACCACTTTTCATGGAACCAGCAATTTACGGACCAAGAATTCGGCGCGTTTTGGGCGGGGCCCCGGGCGCCATGGAGCCAACGAACTCGTTCATGATGTGGACGGTGGCCTCAGAGAAGCGAGGCGCGACAGAGAGAGAGAGAGAGAGAGAGAGAGAGGTAGGTGCAGACAGAGACACAGACATAGAGACACGCGTACAAGGCTGACACAGACATAGAGACATAGAGACATAGAGACATAGAGACATAGAGACATAGAGACATAGAGACATAGAGACATAGAGACATAGAGACATAGAGACATAGAGACATAGAGACATAGGACAAGGTTGACCCGGACTAGTGAACACCAGTTGATTCATACTGTGGATGGACGAAATCCATTCGCACTACTTTGAAGCATGGGAAACCATATCGTTTCTTGGTATTTACAGGGGAATCACACTTCCAGGGCTTCTTAGGTGGTACAGGGTTTCGTCCACCCAAAGTAAAAACACGCGTACAAAGAACACAAACAAAAGGAAATAAGCAAGCAAGCAATTAAATCGAATCAATAGATCAATCAATTAATCCAATCCAATCCAATCCAATCCAATCCAATCCCTCAACCAACCAACCGACCGACCGACCGACCGACCGAATCAATCCAATCAATCCAATCAATCCAATCAATCCAATCAATCCAATCAATCCAATCAATCCAATCAATCCAATCAATCCAATCAATCCAATCAATCCAATCAATCCAATCAATCCAATCAATCCAATCAATCCAATCAATCCAATCAATTCCAATCAATTCCAATCAAATCAAATCAAATCCGATCAAATCCGATCCAATCCGATCCAATCCAATCCAATCCAATCCAATCCAAATCAAATCAAATCAAATCAAATCAAAATCAAATCAAATCAAATCAGATCAGATCAGATCATATCAGATCAAATCAAATCAAATCAACTCAAAATCAAATCAAATCAAATCAAATCAAATCAATCAATCAGATCAGATCAGATCATATCAAATCAAAATCCAATTGAATCTAAAAGAAACAGTCAAACAAACAAGCAAGCAAGCAAACACACAAACAAAGCAAAACAAAACAAACAAAGCAAAACAAAACAAAGCAAAGCAAAACAAAGCAAAACAAACAAAGCAAAACAAAACAAACAAGTGACACCCAAATACTGACATAAACACAAACACAAATACACACACGAGCACAAACACAGACACAAGCACAAATTCATGCACAAACACGAACACGAACACAAACGCAAACACACACACACACACACACACACACACACACACACACACACACACACATGCATAGCCTGCAGCCTACATACACATAGCCTACACACACATAGCCGACACACACATAGCCTACACACAGTCAAAATACGCTGTACTGTACTATCCCTCAAACTAGCACAGCTCTGCCAGCGGCCCCTGCCTTTCGTTTTTCTGGGCCACTTGTTAGGCCTCCCGGCGAGAGAATGACAAACCCAGCCCCGCCCAGTGCCACGTGCCGTCTGGTTGTCCCCACTAATGTTGACCCATATTCTTGAACCCCAGTTTGTGCATAGCGGGGTGGGGGCCCCTCCAAAAGTGATGAATCTCCACTAAACCCAGGGACATCCCCCTCTTCATAAACAGGGCTTCATTATCATGGGGTCAACATTGGGCAGTACCTTTGGGCTGGGCTGTTGGCGCAGCTGAACTGCGTTCAAGGCACGTCCGCAGCTGGCATCCTGCGGTCGGAAGACAAGACGACGGCAAAAGGTTTGAAGGCCAGATGCCACTTCGAAGTTTTGAATAGGGGACTTTTTGGTGGACATACTGTGGATGGACGAAATCCTGCACCACCCACGAACCCCTGCAATGATGATTCCCGTGTAAATACCAACAAACAATTGTCCATCCACAGTAGTTTAGGTGAGCATTCATGTCCACCAACCACTTTTGAGGTGCCATAATCAAATCCATAGGCACATGCTTAAACTTTTCTGCATAAGGGGGGGGGGGGGCGGGTCCTTAAGGGATAATCCAAAAACCACCCGCTTTACAGGGGATCAGCTGGTACGTAGGCGGAACTATGGCTATGGCTTTCCGGAAAGTTGAGCAAAGCATGAAAAAACCAACTGGATGCTAGCTGGCCAGTGGGATTTGAGGCTTTTTTTTCCCAGCTGAAAGCCTTGTGGGGCTCTGGCGTACCTCTGTTCAGCTTCAGCGTAGGATGAACAAGCAAGGACTCGGGGTGCCTGTTGTTAGTTTCTGGGATTGTTTTCCAGGGAAACCAAAGGGACATTCAAGCCTATTTTTGCGGGGGGGGGGGGGGGAGGGGGGGTCAAAGGGAAACAATCCCTTTTGGTGAGTTCCCCTGATTTGGAGACAAACCCTGAGCAATTCCTGAACCCTCCATTGAGTACCACGAAAATAACGAGGAGGCCGTCCCATCCAGTCCTCTCCAGGTTGCCCACAGAGTAGGTGGCCAACGTGCTTAGGACCGGGTCCATCCTGAGCTTCCAGTTGAAATCGCAACTCTGCTGCCTTTTCGTGGGACATATGGGAAATCTACAAACCAAAAAAGCTCAAAAAACCAGACGATTGCTGGGAGCCACTGAACCCCAAAAACCCAAATGCCTAATCCACTCCTTTTGGAAGGGTCGGTTTTCGGGGTCCAGCCAAAAGGCCTCCATTGAGACCCCAGGAACTAGTTGCCCAAAGCCTTGACCCCAGTAGAAATCACTCTTTGGCGGGAAACGATACGGAAACTGCCCTTGTCTTGATTTTGCTTACTTTAAAAGAAAAAAATGAGACCCCTGCTGGCAACCTGGGCTGTCCGTTTTCTGATCCCCTGCTGAAAGTTTAACTTTTATTCGCTTAAGTGGAAACTACCACTGAAGCAACTAAAAACCTAACAAGCTAAGGAACCGGATGGCTGGGAGCCACTCGAACATTGGCCTGCTTTACGCTTTCAGGTCTCCTTTAGCTATGGCAAGCGAGTTCTTTTCTGCAGCATCACCAGATCTTCGCAACCCTTGGCATGGTAGCAAAAAAAAAAACTTCTTTTCTGCGGCCCACGAATCTAAAAATGGACGGGAATCCAAAAAACCCTAAAACTTGAGCCAAGAACGGCGAAGAGATACCTCCCGGAGCCCCCTGCCCCTTCACCCAAGGGTCCTTCTGAAGGTCACATCTACTCGAACCTCCCCCGCCCCCCCACCTCTTTCCCTCCCCCAACCCCCACCTTCCCCCCCCCCCAAACCCCCACCTGCCTTTAGCCTGGGGCGCCCGGCTGCTTGAGCACTGGCCCCCCTCCTTGGCCAGAGCTGCACATCCTCAGCGCGTCAACATCTCCCCGGCGAGTCATCTCGAAGGGTTCCCGTGCTTCATCTGGTGTCCAATTCCAAACCCCTGGATCGCCAGTTGCGATCGTCTTTTTTCCATGCACTTTGCCATCCAAAAAACCGATCGCAACAGTGACTGCAACTTGGCAATCTAGGTCGGTATTAAAATGGTCGTAATCCCAGAACCATGTAAAGAACTAAGAAGGCCGATATCCGCAGCTATTTCTGGCTGGGAGTGTCCCTTGCTAACCTGCACTTACCCGGGTTTTGATTGTCGTGGCAACACCCACGTGGGGCGCACCAAAATCTTCGAAACCCCACAGAATATGAGCTCAAGCAGAATTGGATGCTCCCATTCACATACAACATTGGCGGATGTAGGAAACCCTAAGTGGGGTCAAATTGGTTGCCACGGCCAACCGAGAGTCTTGAGAAAACTCCATCCCAAGTCTTTCTGGAGACAATGAGATCCAGGAGTCACGAGTAGCAGCGTCAAATTGCTGCAGGAGTATCATCGCTTTTGGAGGCAAACACCCCCCTAGTAATAAACTGCCTGGATCGCCAGTTGCGATCGCTTTTTTTCCATGCACTTTGCCATCCAAAAACCGATCGCAACAGTGACTGAAAAAAGCGATCGCAGCTTGGCTATCTAGGTGGGGTTGAATCGTGTGGGGTCAACATAAACCCGGACCGAGGGTGAAAAAGACAAGGCTCAGAAACTCCTTCAATCTCAAGGCCTGACCGGAAGGTTCGTGAAATGGACGAGGAAACTATCCATTCAAAACACTTCCCTGTTTTTGAATTGCAACCTGTGAGGGTTGTTCAACAAAGAGGCCCTGCTTTTTCGTTCCTTCAAGTGCAGAGCAAAAGCGAACGGCCTGGATAGCCAAGTTGCTGTTTGTTCACTCACTGTTGCGTGTTTCTGGGGTAAAGTGGATGGAAAAAAGCGATCGCAACTGGCGATCCAGGGGGGTTCAAAGTTGGAACGAGCAACCCTCACTTGGGTATGTGTCAATATACGGGGCCAGCCAAAACAGGGCGTTCCTTTGGGCCTAATCCCTGTCATGTCAGGGCGCCCGCCCCAAACGCCATTTGCGAGAAAGGGAGGGCCCTTGTTTTCGACCCCCACTGAGCCAGACATACTGCGGATGGTTGAAATCGAAATCCATTCTGCACCACTTTGAAGCCACGGTTGAAACCATTGTGTGTTGGTGTGTATGGTGCAAATTGGATTTTGTCCATCCACAGTACGCGGGGTGTCGAAAAACTGCGTGGCGGCTAGAACAACAGGGTCCACCAAGCAAAATGACAATGAACATTCTGGATAGGGGGAGGGTAGCGGGGGGGATTCGCTGGCAGGTGATGAATTTTCCCTCCCAACCCTTTGGGACTCCGGACACTAAAAAATGTCCCAGCCAATGATTCAACACAGTTTTCCCACTGGCAACCCCCATTTCTACTGTCGTTGTGGCTTTCCTTTACCACCCAGGGCAAACAAACAAAAAACAATTCGCGAACTGTGTCATAAGGACTCCCTGTAAGACCTTCCGTATTTCCTCATGGCTGCGCTACCCCCAGTTGAGCCTGTCGTAAATCGTCCTGAAACGTCCAAGAAGCGAAGCTTCCTATTCTACTGGCTCGAAATGACTCTCTAAATGCTGAGACCCCTTAAAATGCCCTCTGCAAGTTGGGGCTGTTGCTAAGGGGTTGGCATGAACCGGAACAATTAGAAACAAAGGAATCCTTTGTTCAAAGTCAGCTTCCAGATTGGTTGATCAACCTCCTGAAGAGGTTCCCTTTCACACCAACCCGCTTCACTTCGAGACACAAATTTTCACTCATCCGCTCCGAGCCGCAGAAGGAAGGGCAGCGTCATTGCCGTCAGAACCTCGGCGAAATCAAAAGGACCCATCCCTCGCAAAAGGAAGAAAAAAAAGACAGCGAAAGGATACACCGCAAGAAGACCATGACGCAAAACCAAAAAAAAGGCGAGAAGAAACAGGACCCAATGTTTTGTGTGTTGGCAAGCGTGTCCATAACATCTGGATGCCAACTTGGCTTTGGCATGGGACCTGAATCCAGCCCTTTGAATGGCGTCAAAAGGGGAGTAAAAAGGAGAATCAACAGGAAACCAAGCAAACTGGTCCCCTGGAGACTCACCAGTGAGTTCTTTCACCTCCCAAACGCTGTCCCCAAGCAAACCTCCAGCGTCCGCATTGGGTACAAGGTGGTCGGATGAAATGAGGGGCCATCCTACCAACTACATACTGGTATATAAAGATACATATCTATATATATATATATATACATACACACATTTTTGTCCCTTGGGGATAGTGGTTCAGGGGTAATGGAAACCCGCTTTCTGCTGCACAATTCTCCAAAAGGCCTCTGGCTTGCTTGGTGTCCACGCCCCAAAGGCAATAACCAAGAGCATCAGCAGGTCGAAGTACAGCCTGCCCCCCCCCCCCGCCCGACCCCAAGTGTTGCCAACACGGGCTCCCTTTTTTGAGGTTTGTGGCGTCCCGTGGTTTGCGGGTGTTCAAGGGAAACCCAAAAGGGAAAACCGGTTCTCCTAAAAAAATAGAAGCACACATATGTTCCCTTCAAGCAGCCACCCCACCAAAGAGCAGGTTGGTAAACATTGGCAACCACAAGGCCAGGCGTAAACCGCCGCTTTCCGGATCTTTGTCCAAACCGATACCCATGGCAACCAAAAACGACGGATTTAAGATCCGGCTGGTTCCAGCAAATGACACTTCCTAAACGGAAGGAAGAATGAAACCTCAGACTTCTTCTACAAATATGAGTGTGTCTTGAAATAGAGGACCCTCAACTGGTGGTTTTCCCTTGATTCGCCCTTAGAACCAAGCCAAGCAAAGGTTGCTAACCTGAAAAACAAAAACACATCCATCCTGCACCACCTAAGAAACCCTGGAATGATCATTCCCTTGTAAATGCCAACAAACAATGGTTTCTCATGGTTTCAAAGCAGTGCGAATGGATTTGTTACCATCCCCTGCTTTGCTTTGCAATGGTGTCCGTTTTTCTTTGGAACTGGTCGTCGCTGGAAGCTGTCCACAAAGGACTTTTGCTCCTCCCTCTGTGGAGGCTATTTGTGCGGATCGCCCAAGGGCCAGAAAGCACAAATCCAGGCCGCGGAAGACTAGGCAGCATTTTTCCCGCGTCTGGTATATACTCCAAACTAAGATTTGCGGACTCTTTGCTTTATATTTAATCTACCTTCAAGTATAACATGGGTGTGTCGTTTTTGAGGGTGCCCCCTTTTTAAGGTTCTTGAAGGGAAACCAAAAGGAAGACCGGTACACAATTTGGCGCGTCCGATTCCTAAAACACGACACGCCCAGTTTGTTTTGGAGATCCCAGAGCAGTGGCTCAGTCAAAACGGTTGGAGTCTGATTCGGCGAAATCCGATTTCAAATCAGCATGCGAATGAGCGGCTAACTATTTGGGTATACCACTAAACCACCAGGTGACCCCAGAGTCCATGTTTCCATTTACCAGGGCAACGCATTTTGAGGTTACCCTATATTTGACCCCCCATTTCGAGAGATGCCAAGGCATCACAGAGTGTCTGGTTGTATCTAAACAGGAACCAAAAGGAGACTAACCATTTCAAGCGCCATTTTGGAAAGAAAAACAGACATACGTTCCCAGCCAGCGGCATGTTAGCGCAACACGTTGTTGTGTGCAGCCCGAAACGCTGAACAAACAAACAAAAATAACACACCCAAAACGCAAGAAAGATTTGAAGCCGGAGGCAGCCACAAACCAACACGACGTGTCCAAGCACTCAGCGTTCGAAAAGTTGGAGTTTGGAGCTTGGGGAGTTTCCGTGTAGCCTGAACTTCAACTCCAAACCAATCCAAAACCACCTAAGGGCTACCTGAATCACCTGAAGCACTCCTTCCCAGGCCACACTTTCTTTTCTCTGCATAGTTCCAAAGGTACAACTATCACCTATGGTTGAACATCTCGCCTGTACCAACACGGGTGGGAGTGTTTCCCTGGTATCGGATGGCCTTTCTGCCCATCTAACCAAAGGACCCCCAGCTCACAGCACCTCCGTCGCGCCCCAATTCCCCGAGCCTCACGCCGATGGCGTACTCCCCGACCTCCAAAAAGCGAGTTCTTCGGGACGGCGAAGATGACCCCCCCCCCCCTCCGGGGGAGAAGTTGGGTGAACTTGGGAGGGAGCGGGGGGAGGGGGTTGGGACTTGGGAGGGAGGGGGGAGGTTGGGTTAACTTGGGAGGGGGCGGGGGGTTTTGATGGGAGGAGGGTACCTGACTTTCGATTGGTCCCGAAGAAGCCATGCGACATCCTAAAATTGGGGGGGGTCCTTTCTGTCCCCTCATGGTGCACATTCAAGCAGCCCGAAAACTTACCAAGATGCCTAAGATGGAAACCCCACTAACCCCAAACAACTTTCAGGGGAAGACGCGTTAGATATGATTTATAGAGCTGCTATATAGTGGTCCTATATCCCATTGAATGTCCGGATCCTGCCAAAACAGGAGAACGACCCAAAAACTGGATGGGGTGGTTGGGAGTCCATGTTCTGCAAAGCACCCACCAAAAGACCCTTTTGTTGGAAAGGAAGGGTTCCGAACGTGCGAAGGAGAAAGGCGCAAAGCCTGGCTGGCAAATTACAGGGCTTGGTCAACTTGCATCGTATCAGGGGGCATCAGTCATAGGATGGCCAAAATCCCCCACAAGCTGGTGGCTGGTTTGTCGTATTAAAAGCGGGTTTGTGAGCGCTTGTACCAATCCACAGTGGGAGTATCACCCCACCCTACGGTTTGGATTTGTGTATTGAAGGTGCTTGGGCTGGTTTGGATTTGCGTTTTGCAGGTGCTCGGGAGTACCTTCCACTGGTGTCAAAGAAACTGGGAATTAACCGTGATTCATGTCCACCAACCACTTAGGTAGTTCCAACTCTTTGAAAAGGATAGCCCGAGAGTGAATCCTGGGTGCCAACTCGAGATTGCAACGAACAAAGGAGGGAACAAAGGAAGCCCAGCGAAAATTCATTCGGTCGGTTTACGTTGCCAATACTGGTATAGCACATCCACCGTTCGCCCCTTTTCAGGTCCTTTCCTCAGGTCCCCTGGCCGTCGCATGGGAAGTGCACAGCAAATTCCGCCACCGGAAGAGCTGGTCCTCCGCGGGAAGAGCCCCAGTTCTTTTCGCTGCCGTTTGGTTCAAGGCCTCTTGGTTTGTGTAGTTCTGCTTTAGGCGTTCTTGCAGTTCCTTCGGCACAGAGCACGTATGGCTCCTGATGCTTCGTTGATCTCTGCTAGTATAAGTTTCATGAACGAGTGTACTGGTTCCAGCATACATAAGACCTGGCCGTCTGTCTTCCGGATTTCTGTTTTGGCTCACATGTCGGAGGATTCAATACATGGGCCTGCTTCTTTTTGAGGGTCCCGCTTTTTGTTGGCTTGAAAGGGAACCCAAAAGGAAAACCACAATTTTGGGGGGTCCGATTCCTAAAGATGAGCCACCCACTTTGTTCTACGCGAACAAACTACAATTGGCAAAATACAAATTGTCCGTTTCAATTCGTGTGTAGGGCAGCATCCAGGAAAACAGATCGCTCTGTCTGACCTTAACCCCGGAAACAGATTCGCCAACGAGTCCAGGCAACCAACAAAAACAAGTCAACAAGTTGGTCGAAAGGCCTCTCACTATTTAAGTCTGACTCAAAAAAGTATCAAACGCCCATCCAAAAAAAGCGAGTCAAAGTCTACCACAAGCAAAGCGGACTCTACGCAAAGCCTAAGCAACGCACTGCCCAGCAAGAGACATACCACACCCCACACCAAAAAAATCCATCGGGAGCTGCCCTGGAGCCATTTTCCCTTGAACCTACTGAGAAACCATAGGAAGCCATTGTTGGTTGGTATTTACAAGGAAATCATGGTTTCCGGGTTTCTCATGTGGTGCGAAATGGATTTCGTCCATCCACAGTATCAGACAGTATCACTCCCCAACCTTCAACCAGCCCAAGAGGTAGTTAACCCCACGCAGGCAAACATAGACTTGGATGATTTGGAGCCCAATCTGCTCAGGTGATGCTCTTCACTGCTTGTTGTTCAATGGTTTCTTTGGTTGCCTTCACTTCATTCACTCGCTTTAGTGGTTGGTTGATGGACTGGATGTATTGATTCGTTGGTTGGTCGGCTTGGTTTTTGACTGGTTGCTTTGATTTGTTGATTGATTGGATGCGCTGATTCATGGAAATTCATATATTTATATATATATATATATATGATATATATATATATATGTATATATATATATAAACACACACACACACACACACACACGGAGCCCTGTCTTGACCGCCGCAAAAACCGCCGGACCCTCCGCTCGCCCGCGGAGAAAAAAAAGCATCTGCCCGGTCCGTGACGCTGGTGCGGCGCAGGTTCAGCTCCGCCTGGGGCGGAAATCTCTGAATCTGCTCGTGGGGCAAAAATGGGGTTACCCCAGAATGGAGCCCTGGGAACTGGAAACAGGGACGAAACCTAAACGTCCCCTAGCACTTTACAAAAAAGCTATGGCGGTGGGTCAAAAGATGGTGCCCAAGATGTTAGCTTGCCAAAAAAACGGAAAGACGACAAAGAAAAAACGTCAAAAAAACGCCAGCGGTTCCACTTTGCGCCGGGAACCCCTCTGGGAAACCGAGAAATGCAAAAAACCATTGGCCCTTGGACACGGGTCTTAGAATGGGAAAGACATATTGGCGCCGGACACGGCCACAAATCTCTGCTATGGGAAGAAAAAAAACCTTGGCCCTTGGACACGGGGCTCTTAGAATCTGCTTGGAAAAAGTTCTTGAAAGATCATCATCCAGAGGAGCCCAATGGACTGGGTCTTGGCCGCCGTGAGTCATTTTTTTCCCGGATCGTCAGGGACCAAGAAATCGGTGGCCACATCTTCGGCCACCGGAGGAAAACCAAAGATGTCAACTCATGTGTTGTGCGTACTCATGGAAAAATACCATACCAAGACAGACATATCCCCCCTGATCAGGCCTGGGGAAAGCCAACCTACATGAGACCCGTGGTGACGCGGTTGTGGAAAGTCATGAGGTCAATGCCCCGAGACCGCCAGAGTCCTTGCTCACCCCCGTTCTGTAAGGCTGCTTGCAGAAAGGCTACTCCTTGAATGCAATTCTGCCTCCGTGCTCGCGTTTCATCCGCCACTGGCCCGCCCGGAGGACATTCCAAGCGAGCTGAGACCCAGCACTAAGCCCGTCCAAGAGACATCCATTTAAACCGCAACGACTTAGGGACCTAAAAAAGGTGGTCGGACAAACCGGATATACAGTGCATGTGTCGTTTTTGAGGATACTCCTTTTTGGTGGTTATAAAGGGAAAGCAAAGGGAGAACCATCATTTTGGGGGCGTCCA